AATTTTTCTTTCTGAATATTAACTTTAGAATATTAACTTTAATATTGGCTACTGGAAACTTGTTACTGCAGTTAATTTAAAGATGTTTGATTAATTTTGCTCAATATTTTCCTCAAGAATATATTACTTAGGTAATATAATCAGTTTCTGCTCTTTAAACACTATGGTTTATATACAGTGTGTTTGCTTAGTATCACTAACAATTAAATTATTCAACATACTAATAATGAAGACCATATCCATGCTGTTCCATTTTTTGTCTGGGATAGAGTTATCTATGAGGGCTGTCTTTCGAATTTGTGTTGGAAACAGTGTTGATGACACAGGGATCCTTTCAATACTGCTGAGCAGGGCTTAAGCAGTGTCAGGCCTTTTCTGCTCCTGACAGCACCCGACCAGTGAGTGGGCTGGGGATGCACAAGGAGCTGGGAGAGGACACAGCTGGGACAGCTGGCCCCAAATGACCAAAGGGATATTCCAGACCATATGGCATCATGCTCAGCATATAGAGCTGGAAGAAAGAGAGAGAAGGATTCTTCACCCACAGCTACCATCCTTTCAGGACTGAACCTGCTCCAACATTGACTTACCTGTGGCTAAATACTCTCTCATGGGGCATACCTACTCTCCCTGGCTACACACATTGAGATGCTCCAACACTGAATAACTTCAAGGTGTTCTTGCTGCAGCATGGATTAATCCCTGAGCCACAGTCCTCTCGGAAGTGTCTCTGCAGTGGTACACACACAACCATGGCCACAGATGCTTCAAGCTGTACAGACTGCGGCACAGGCATATCCACGCCACAGACACTCTGGGGTGCCCTGCTCCCTCCTGTGTGTACTCACTCACGGGTCACAGTGCCTCTCAGCTGATTTCGCAGTGGAGTTCCAGCCTGCCCAGTACAGTAGCACAGAATGAGCAGTGATGCCCTGGCCATCTGCCAGCCCACGCACATCATCACGGCTGTTATCAGAATCCCAGGCCCAGCAGAATAACATGATCAGCAGCACAGCCCAATGGCAAGCAGTGAAAGCAAAAAGCAGTCATTAATAAGCACTAGACTCTAATTTACAGCCGGGCAACTCAGCCCCATGGCAAGCACAGGAGCCTGTTGATTAATAGCTAAGCAGCATAACTGCTATAAATTCAATCTAGCATTTTCCAATCAAACATTATCTTGCATCCTTTAATACTCATGCTGGGTGACAAAAGTGCTATTGTGGTTTAACCCCAGCCATCAACTAGGCCCCACACAGCTATTGGCTTACTACCCTACATCAGGACTGGGGGCAGAATCAGAACTATAAAAGTGAGAAAACTCATGGGTTTGCAACAACAATGATTTAAACAATAAAGCAGAAGCTGCACATGCAAGCAAAGCAAAACAAGGAATTCAATCATCACCTCCAGTGGGTAGGAAAAAGCTCATCTATCCCCAAGAAAGCAGGCCTCCATCATATGTGATGATGACTAGGGAAAACAAAGACAATCACTAAGAACATTTCTTGTTTGTTCACCCCCCACCCCAGCTCTATATGCTCAGCATGACACCATATGATCTGGGATATCTTTTGGGTCAGTGGCATTCAGCAGTCTGGATGTTTTCCCTTCCAGCTCCTTGTGCACCCTCAGCCTTCTTGCTGGTGGGGTGGGGTGAGGAACAGTAAAGGCCTTGACGCTGTGTAATAAAACCAGTAATAAAGCATCCTTGACTTATCAACATGTTTCCACCATAAATCCAAAAGATAACCCCATAGTGGCTGTTACAAAGAAAATTAACTCTATCCAAGCTGAAAGAACCAGTGTTTTAATTGAACCCTGTTGTCATCTTTTCTATCCTGCTTCACTTGTTAAAAATGACAAAGTGAAATAATTTTTATATTTCAAATGTCACCTGTTCCCAACTGCAATTAGCATTTAAAAGCTTAACATCCATTTTCATTCAAATATGCCGCCTCTGTAGTCATGGTAACTTCCTCATCAGCTTTATCTTCCAGCTTTAGAAGGTCCTGCTGGGATACTTAGAGATGTTATTATTTAGGATTTTTCGACTCCCTCCTCCTTCCCTTTCCAACACAAAAAACACTTCTGTGCTTGCTTTCATCAAGTCTAAGGTTTACAACAGCAACAAAACAAAAATCCTCCTCTAAAAACAAAAAAACCCAAACAAACAAATGAAAGTTTTACTTCTTGGAGCTTCCTGGAAACAGGAATTGGTAAAAAACAGTGGCTTATGAATTCAGATGACTCCTCACACATGATGCAGTAAACCACAGATAAGGTATTAAAAAGTATATATTCAGCACAAATATAAATAAAAATGAAAACCTAGTCACACCCTCATATGTGAAGGAGTAGAATCCAAATACTTGGCAGAGGTGCCTTCTCTCCTCTCTTTAAAGCAGAAACATTGAACAGCTGTGAGGCAAATGTTGTTCCACTCAAATAATTTAGTTGTTCTGAATTTAACTAGGATGTACTCTGATGTTTAATTTTGTGAGGAAAAAAAAGGATTTCTTTTATATTATCCTTCTTATACTAATGTAACTGTGCTTATTTAATTCTCTCCTGATTAGTAGGCAGCATTTATATGGGGATGGGTCAGCTGATTCAAAATGCTGAAGTCACTGGTAGAGATACCCATCTGTGAGCCACATAATTTTTGTCACAGATATTATTGTCCCTGGCATGCAACACATTTTTATTGTTGGAAGAAAAATCTTTGCAACTACAGAGAAACAGATAGATACTAGAATTCAGTATCTATCTGTGGACTTTCAGATATTAGAAAATATCATTATAGGGAATATAATAGCATTACTATAGGGGATTTTCTACATATTCTCCCTGTGGTCATTTGTAAAAGTCACCTACTTCCAATTTTTAATTCATTTGGGGTACTATGCACATATCTCAGCCTGCCTCTGGACCATCTGTGAAGCTGTAAAACCATTTTTGATATTTTTCAAGTGTCTACTTCTCATAGACTGCAAGCCAACAATTCAGCAGTCACAAGAAATTTTATTAGCGTACCTACCCTTAATCCCTATCCGACTGCAGAGCAGGCACAGGTTGAACATTTAAGATGCATCTACTTTATTTAGGTCTTGCATATGTGGATACAGAAGTAAATCTGCATTTTAATTCTTATCTATGTGGAGTCTCTAGAAGCATGGTTAAAAGCAATCTCTACATGTGTCCATCCTGAGACTCAACAAAGGCAAGTCATGATAATCAACAAGCCCCTCCATCAACTGCCAGCCACTAATGACCACCTCCCAATATGAAACATGAAATAAAAGTGCGCTGCACGAGCAGACTCTGCCCTTAATGCACACTTTGTCTGTGTGACTCAGCTGTGGCTCTTACTAGAAACCACTGAAATTTTGGCAATATCTCTGTAACATTCTACATCTCTTTTGTGGCCACATAGTTTCAAAGATGAATGCTGTACTTTGGTGTGTCCCATTTTGCCATCTCCTAAGTCTTTAGAACTTATGAATTTCCTATTAATTCCAAGGCCAAACCAAACAGCCCAGGTCCTGCCAGTGTAGAAATATAAAGAGACTGTGCATTCCAGGCTTACTCTAACAGTCTTTAATTTTCATGTGATGTCCTAATAATACCTATAATTTCAGTGTATTATCACTTAAGATAAACTCTCACATTTTTGCATTCTTTGTGAAGCACCAATTAAGAGTTATTTTCTGTTTGCCAAAGGACGAAATCAGAGTTCAAAATGAAGAAAGTAGAAACTGTAAGAGGTTATTATTTTCCCCAAAGAGACTGAGAGTTCATCTCTTGCAGTAGGGCTTTTCAGAAGGTGCAAAGTATGTCATTGAAAGCAGAGATGTGTTAGTGAGCTCTTTACCAAACTTTTCCCAGACCTCAATGGTTGCTCTTACCCAGCCAAGAGCAAATATCCTCGCTTTTGTCTGGGCACTGCATTTTTCAAGAACTTCCACATGAAGTTCTTCTTAAACAGCCCTGAACCAATCAGAATCTTCCTGGGATGTTGGGCCGCCTACACTGGATTACTTTGGTTTATCCATGGATTACCAAGTAGGTTATTTTAACAATGGCATAGAGGAGGAATGCAACTGGTATGTCAAAAGAGCATCACCTGTGTACTCTAATAGATCTCCAGCGTACGTCACAGGAAATTAGCTATGGCAGAGCTGCATTTGTAACTGTTTCAATATTTGTGAATTTTGAAGCATTTACTTAATGAAGCGCAGCTTATTGGGGAAATACTAATGTTGAAAACAGAAGATTAAAATAGAAGGGGACAGCTCTGGCTAAGGAATTCTCCTGTTTTCACGTGTGTACAGGGCATCTTTATTGTTCTCTTTGGCAACTTTGAAATGCACTTTGAAGAAATTTCTGTTCAGCAGTAAATTAATCATAACAAATAACTTAATCATGGATGTGTTGTCATCCTTAAATCAAATCCAAAATGAAACGTCCTTATCTTTCTTGTCCTGATTTCCTTTCATTTGGCATAAAGGATTTTTGACCAGAAGGCCTCACCTTTTTAAAAGAGCCCCGCTCTTCGAGGCTTATTATCTTTGCTAGATGCGCTAAATTTTATCTCGCTTAAAACGGCGCCAGCTAACCCAGAGTGAAGGGGAAAAATAAAAGCAATAAATTCCTTGCCCCCTTGCTTGGCCAGCAACCCAAGTCCCGTGGGGGCGCGGCGGGCGGGGGCGGGGCGCCGCCTGCCCCGCCTTTAGGGGCGGGTCCCGCTGCCGCCGCCCGCCGCAGTCGGTGCCGCGGGGCTGCGCTCGGGCCGCCCGTGCCCGTGCCCGTGCCCGTGCCCGTCCCCGCCGCGCTCCCTCCGCGCCCCTGCCGAGCGGCTGCGGGCCGGCGCGCAGCGCAGCGCAGCTCCGGGTGAGCGCCGGCGGAGTGCGGGGCGGGGGCTGGGCTGCGGCGGTGCGGGGACTCCCATCCGCAAATTCCCGCCTCCATGGGCGGTACCGGCTGCCGAGTAGGGGCCACCGGTGCCCCGAGCCCCCGGTCGGTGCCTGCGCGGCTCTCCGCTCTTGGGGCTGGACCCGCTCCCCTTTCGGAGGTGGAAAAAGTTTGTGCGGCGTGGAGCGGAGCGCGGCGGAGCGGTGCGAACTTGGGCTGAGTTAGGCGAGGCTCTGCGGCATCTCCGCGGGGGCACGGGGACGAAGGCGGGGCGGCGGGGGGCTGCGCTGCGCTCCGTCGGGTCTGGGGTCCGCCGTGTCGGGAGCGGTCTGGCCGAGCTGTGCCGCGGAGTGCCAGGGCAGGGGACAGCAGGAGCGCTTCTCCTGTATCCCGTTCGCGTAATGGCCAAGGGAGCGCGGACACCGGCCCGTGGCCGCCGACTGTGCACGGCAGCGGTGGTGGTGCCGCTCCGGTGCCTTTCCTGCTAAATGTTTTTGTGGCAGTCCGTCGAGTGTTAACTCTAAGGTGGAAGATAAATATCTCTGCCGTGCTGCTGCATCTTGCGGATGAAGTATGTCTCTATGACATCTTAGTGTGGAAACTGTTTGAAAAAATCAGGAGAAATTGAGAATGACTTAATAACTTCTAGGGAGATAACTGCATGTAATAGCTGTAATCCTGTATTTGGGAATACAAAGTCAGTTATTCTGCTGATTGATAGAATGTTCAGAATTTAGCTACTGCTACAAATGACTTGAATAAGAGATGTAACAAAGTATTTTTGGGCAGTAATTGGAAAGACTAACATTCAGTTTGATTCAGAAAGTATCTTACATTTTGTTTCATATAAAATACAACTAACTGTGAAAGACACATATGTAACTAACTTTTACATTACAGATCTTCTTCAAATTCCTTAAGCAAAATACCTGCTATTATCTACAGATTTTTTTTTCCTGTGTTAAAAGGGCTGTTAGTCAAGAAAGCTCATCTCTGGCATATATGAATTGTAATTCTTGCATAATTCCTTACCGTTTTATTTGTTTCAGGATCAACTCTTGTGTAAATTTAAACAATTTTCTTAAGTATTAGTAAGAGGAGCACTTTTAAAAGGTATCACATAGGTATTCTTAGTAACATCCTACATTTATTCCTGAATGCATGACATAAATCAAAACAGAATGAGGGGAGACTGGAAATTTTGTCTTGACTCATCCAAGACAGTGTCCTAGCTCTGATCAGAAGGAAACCAAGTTCTCTCTGTAAACCTGAGCTGGTTTTACAGTGGAGCTAAAGAAACTCCCATTTCAATCCTGTTCCAGCATCAGAGTGTTCTACTTACACATCAATGACTGTTGCTCTGTGCATACGTAACATTTCAATTAATGCTGCCTCAGCTGTCTAAATGTCTGATGAGATGCTTGTTAGCACTTTGATTGCTTTTCCTGGCGCTATTGTCCCTGCATTTGGGATTTGGACATTACATGTTCATAGTGGAAAGTAATTACAGCAGGTAATAATCTGTGGTGTATCCATTAAAATAATAGTTTCCTCATTTTTGCACAACATCTGGGGATAGTTTTTACCTTCCACTAGGATTTTTTTTTTTTTTTTTTTTTTTTTTTTTTTTTTTTTTTTTTTTGTTGGCAACTGAGGAGAGCAGTGGCTCAGATGCATATGAGAGGCATAAAATGAGTATTGGTAAACTGTTATCCACAGGGTTACTGCATAAACAAACATATAATTGCTGTGTCCGGTGGGATGTGACAGAGGTTTATGTTACATATTCTGCTTCAGATTTTAAATGTAACCCAGTCTGTAAAATGCTTTCATAAGTTTCTAATCACTTCCTGTTTCACTAATGTCAATGTTTGTCCTTTTAAGACGAATGAAGAAAATACGTCCTGTGAAGAGTAAAAGTACTTGATTCTGGGAAGACTCTTACAGCACTTCTAACTTCAAAGCTGGAGAAAAGTATGAAGGAACAGTCTGTCTGACTCCCTCAGCGTCTCTCACAGAACACAAAATGGCTCTTCAGAAAAAAACTGTTGTTGGTGTCTTGGAGGAGTGGTGTTTGGCGGAACCGCTGTTCGGTTGCAGGTGGCACCAGAATGTCAGGAAAAAACTGAGACTGATACGAATTGTAGGGCTCCTTGTCAGTGTAGTGGCCATTAGTACTTTCTCACTTTCAATGAGTGCCTTTTTCAAGATGGAACCACATAGCAAGGCGCTGGTCAGCAGCCTAGATAGCCAAAAGCTGGTGCATGGGCATCAAAGAACTCTCTTGGATTTCACAGAACAGAATGAAATTGGCACTCCAGATCCACATGCTTCTATGAAATATGAAGCTGGGCAAGACAATGACACAGGTGATCATGCGAAGGGAGAGTACCCTGAGGACCTTTTCTCTCTTGAGGAGAGAAGACAGGGAGCAGTGATCCTCCATATAATTGGAATGATTTACATGTTTATAGCCTTAGCCATAGTCTGTGATGAGTTCTTTGTTCCTTCCTTGACTGTCATCACTGAAAAACTGGCCATTTCTGATGATGTGGCAGGGGCAACCTTCATGGCTGCTGGTGGGTCAGCCCCAGAACTCTTCACTTCTTTGATAGGAGTGTTTATATCCCACAGCAACGTTGGCATTGGTACAATAGTGGGATCTGCCGTGTTCAATATCCTTTTTGTTATTGGAATGTGTGCTTTATTTTCTAAAGAGATCTTGAACCTTACTTGGTGGCCACTCTTTCGAGACATGTCCTTTTACATCATTGACTTGATCTTGCTAATCATCTTTTTTCTGGATAACTTCATAATGTGGTGGGAAAGCATAACACTCCTGACAGCATATTTTTTCTATGTGACGTTTATGAAGTTCAATGTCCAAGTAGAAGAATTGGTGAAGAAATTTTTAAACAGGAACAAGGTTGAGAAGGTAACAACAGATGCTGAAGGAAAGGTTGGTCAATTTTTAGTTTAATTTTATGTACTAATGTCCTTATAAGTGCTAAGTCCTTCTATAGCATAAGGGTTCTAATACAGTGCAGTAGTCAATATAGAAAAGTTCCATGTTTTGCTCAAATGTCTTTTTGTTTAATCAAACTGATATTATTGAAAATAAAAAAACAAGCAGCCTTCTAGTAAATCAATAGCTTTTAACTCCAGAATTATCCTGATCACATAGAAAGCAAGAATTAAAATGACAGCAAAAAGACATAAACCTTTACTCAGCATTTTGGCACATTGATTAGGTCCGAGCTATTTTTTCCCTAAGCTTTTGGATTAAGCAGTGACAATATCTGGGGAGGATCTTGTGACAAAATTTGGCTTTCTAAAGACTTTCAATGCACTTTTTTCCTCAGAGAGGGTGCAAATAATTCAGAACAGTATACAAAGTTATTTTTTATGCATGCTTTTCATCTACTGATGATGATAATGCAATATTAACTTCCTGTTGTAATTAGTGGCACTTTCATGAATAAAACTCGTGAAAAGAGTGACCACAGTGGCAAAAGTCATAGGTTCTCTGTTTAAGGAGGATGGTTTCCCATATGCTATTTTCAACTGTGTAAACAATTTTTGTCCACAAGTAGATAATGAAATTAATGCATGGAGGGCTTGTTGAGTTTTCAGCAATTACAATAATCTTTTAAATAGCTTTCTTCTTAAAGCAAGCAATATTTAAGGGACCTCTGAAGCTGAGCTGCTTAATACTTATGCATGTAGCAATATGTTGGTTGGAATGTCTGGTTTTATATAATTTTGGGTATATTCATCAGGTAAGGTTTTATAATGCAGTAATTATTCAAATTATCAGGGACCTAGCTGCTCACTGTTCTTTTGTTTAGCAGTCATATATAAAGTGGTTCAGAAGAGGCAGAATCCTGTGTACAATATAAGTGCACAGGCACATAAACAGGAGGAGAGAGACATACCAGAGCTGGATATTTTAAAAGTTGTGACAGACACATTCAGTTTTAGGGCAAGCCACAAACCACCAAAATTAAAGCCCCGAAAAGTCTCATTTTTTCCCTTGTATTCTCTAACCAGGTTTAACAGCTGTACACTTACTTGTAACTTTATCTTTTCCTTTTTTTATTCCAAAATCATCATGCTTATCTTCACCTTTCTCAAAATGCATTATTGGGATTTTATAAGTAAATGAAAAGAAGGGTCAACACCAACAAAATACTTACCTTAATTAGCAAGGGGCTTCTATAACTACATTATAGTTGGTTTCTAAATAATCTAAGAGTTTATAGTGCTCTGTAAATCCTTTGACAGTTAGTGCTAAAAATATGTCATGATCGAAAGACTCTGGTATATGTAGCAAACACATTCATCTGTCCAAAACTGGACAGAAAATATAAATCAGTAATTGGTCTGAAGCAATTATCAATATGAAAAGCAACTGCCTTGTGTTGTCCAGGCTACAAGATAAGGGAGAGTAGCTGTGTATCAAAGTATTTAATTATTTTTCACTGAACAGGAGAATAAATCATTTGCGAGCCGTATTGAACATTAATTATATTTGAAGTACTCTAGATGGCCTTGATTTTAAAAGGATACCTTTAGAACCACTCATTTATTGTTTAACATTTTAATTACTTAGAATTTGTTTATAATACAGGTACACAGATTTCAGATGGGGTGAAAAAAAATCAAAAATTGGCTACTGTTCCTAAAAACACAAGCTTTGCATGATATGTTTCATGAAAATAATTTTCCTGAATTAAATTTAATTAAAGTGATAAAGTAATGTATTCATAAATCTTTGAGGAGTGAAGAAAGATGAAAGGTGTTCTAATTTTGTTGCAGTTTAGCAAATACGTATTTTCTGCTTCCCGGGGAAAATGGCTTCTCAAGGTGTCAGACCATGCTTTTACTCTGTGAGCTATGCTGTAAAGGCATATTTTTTAATATTCCACTTACACTTTGAAATGATAAGTCATTATGAATTATTCTATTCTTCAGTTGAACAGCATTAAGCAGGATGAATGAAATTATTTTCTTATAGCAAGGATGTCACAGATTATGTTCATTGGATAAAATCTCAGTGAAGTTCTCTCTTACTTTACTTGCTATTATTAGATTGCTTTTTAAATTAAAAAATAGCAAAAAAACCCAAACCCCAAAACTATTACATGTAGTCCTAATAGAGATGCTTAGGACTTGAAGTTATTGTCTAAAGCAAAGAATAAAGTGCTTTTATAGTCTGAGGTCTGGTACCTTGTAGTGAATGCAATGCATATGGATGTTTATTTCCTAAACACTTAGGTTTATAAGTATCACAGAAGTGATAGTCTTGGCTTTTGGTGGCAAAAAATATTTCATTCCTACAGTGTTAACTGTTAGCCTAGATTGCTCCCACTCATCAAGAGTGTGTATGTACAATTGTATGTATCAAATTAGTATACTGAACACAGAATTTGCAATCTCACTTGTTTCTGATGGAAACTTTTTCACTCTCTTTTCCCCCACTGAGCCAGAGAATTGCTAGGCAGCTATCTGGAACTGGGTGTGTTAAAGTCTCTTGAAAAATTTTAATTTTAGGACAGTAGAGAAAATTCTCTTTTCCTCTAACCAAAACTCCCTCTGCCTATCTGTTGTTGATTCTGCTGCTGCCAAACTGGCAAGAATTCTGCTAAAAAAGCATGTGTGTCGTATTTACCTTTAAGGCTGATGTAATCTGAAAGCAGCTCAACAAATTTGAGAAGTCTAAATAAGGCATCATAAAGCTGGATAGTGAAGGGTTAGGTGGCTTATTAGCAAACGAGTACCAAAGAGTAGAAAACTGATCAGATGAGAAACCTCTGGAGATACTAAAATGTGTTTTAATGTTCATTTCCATACTTTTTTTCTCAGTTGTCTTGAGAGGCTGAAGAAAGTTTTACATTCTCAAGGACAGTATTTCCCGTGAGGAAAGGCTTTAGATATGAATTGATTTTTTTGTCTAGCTTTCATTTGCTCTAGGTGTATTCATCAGGTTGCTAGAATGCATGTGTATCTCTAGATGCCTTTTAGATTTCTATCACCAAACTTAAAAATTAAAGTACATCTTTTTGTACTAGAAGACTGTGACTATTTGAACTTCTGATCTTATTTTCTTTAGTGTGTTGGTCACTTGTACAAATGTGAATGCAGACAGAGTACTCTATATGAATTTTATTGTGCTCACTATTTTCCTTCACATGTTTTCAAATATATGTAGTCTCAATTATTAAAGTGTCAGGTTGAGAAAATCTGGTAGCTTTAGTTTTTGGAACAATTTTGTGGCACTGGTGAGAACAGACTACAAACCTTTTTGCATTTAGAGTTCATAGGGCTCATTGGCAAGGCTCTATTTGAACTGTGGATGTCTGTGCCTCATGCCACCCCCTAGGAAGCCTGATGGCAGTCTGATACTGATGAACTCCAGAGATCACTGTGAAAAAGATGAAAAAAAAGGAGGAGAGATGAAAAAGCAAGACAGGATTAAAAGACAAGATAAAAACCAGATGGCTGAGTTCTACAGAGTAGGATGGCGTATGGAATATGCAGATCAAGATGTGTCCCTAACAAGTCACACTGAATGGGCCCTACAGTAGTAAGAGCCATCCCACTGCTGGATATCCCCAGAAGTCCCTTCCAGCTTAACCTATTCTATGGTATGATTTTCAGATTTTATGTAGCTATCCTGTGAAGAACAGATAGGTAAGGACTGAGGTGGAATCAGCTGAACAAGGATATTTAAAAACATAAGCCTGAAATTGATTATAATAGGCAGGAAGAGGAAAACAGAAGAAGCTGATGGACAAACATCTTAAAAATAAGACTTTTTCAAATTTTCTGCTAAGATTTCAGTCTATTCTTCATCATCTGTGTTGGTGAAGATATGTTGAATGTATTAAATCACATTAAAACATCATGTGGAACTACATTTCAGTTTTAAGTACTTTTTTTTCCTTTAATGTAGCATGAAAATCATTGCAGAAATGCTTGAATCTGATTGTTCAGTAAATAATTCAAAACAGTTCTGTTTGGCAACTAGGAGAACAGAATGTGGGTGGTGCAGGGATATTGTGCAATGACATCTGTTTCACTGACAGTACCATTTTAGATGAATAGCTTATGGTATATACAAGACAGTTGCAGTTTTTCTACATTTACAGAGAGCTGCATTTGGAAAATGAGCTATTTTTACCAACACAGTGTAACTATTATTTTATTGCCAATTTTGTTGTCTTAAGAAACTTGAATAGCTTATGTGTGATACTTAAAGATCCACAATGATCTCAAGTGTTGCCACAGTGTACTTAATGACAGTATTTGCATTCTAAAGGAAAGTAAGAGTATTTTAGGTACTTCTCTGCTTGGTGGTTGTATTAGCACTGCACACGTACATTCACTATTATAATGTCTGATCTAGTATGTGTTAAGGTAAAACACAACCTGAATGCATACAAGAAAAACTGAAACTTCCTTTTTCAGGACTTCTTCATTTTGAATCCACAGACCTAGTAACTGTAACTCTATCCATATAATAACTTTCTTTTCTTTCTTTGTTTTCACTACCAATATTCTTTTGTCTCATAGCTTTCATTGTTCATAGTGTTTCACTGTTCTTAGGAAGATTTGAATTTTATTCTAGAGACATTTCTCAGTCAGTCTACTTGTGCAAGCATGTGTGTGAATACAGAGCTATGAGTATCTGGATCTTGCAAGATAGGTGCATTGTTTTAAGTACATGTTTGAAACAAAAGCCTCAGCACTGACATTGAACCATCTCTTGTTTAGATAAATATCTGGTTTTGTGTCATGTTTTATCTGCTTTTATTCTCTCAGAAAACTTCCAATCTACTCCTGTTTTAATTTAATGTTACTCCAGTAGCAGTAACTATGAGTTAATTTGCCTTGAGTTTTTAGCATTGTTGTTTCAATTTAGGACTATTAACTAACATAACCATAGGCTGATACGTT